ACCAAGTCCTACACAGGGCAGTTCTGACTCTCACCTGGCCTGGAGGCATCAGCTTCTGCCCGGTCCTTCACATGCTCCTCAGGAGCCCATTCTTTAGCTCCAAAGCATCTGACGAGTCTGTTCCATGCTCGGGTTGCTCTGAGCTTTCTCACGTGCACAACGACAAGTGCTGTGAGTACCAGAACAGCAAGGGTTATTCCGATAATCTCAAAGATGAACCTAGTAAGCCCCTTTTTAGTGACCGGTGCGGGCCCACTGTCCACACCTCCTCCGAAGCCGAGGACCTCGCAGTGGGGAGGTGCCCAGCCGCTGTCGCAGTGGCAGTTCCCTCTCGTGTTGCAGACTCCTTTTCCTCCACACGTTCTCTCGGCAGAACAGCGGGATGTCAAGTACTTCTCCTTGGGAACGCACGTCCGATTAACGCAGATCATCTTCTCCCCGCACTGCGTGCCGTCCCTGATGGCTCCAGCATCCAGAACGTCCACACCCAAGTGGTAGTCTGTGCCCCAGCACCAGGTATCGCCCACCAGAGTCTGAACGATGCTTGTGTGATCTTCCAGCTGAGGCAGATGTCTAACATTCGTACACCACACCCTCCCACATAAGACATTTTCCAGCTTACACTTCTGAAAGTTGACCTCTGCCCCGTCGCCCCAGCAATTGCCGAACCGGTCGCCTTTCATGTTCACCTCCTGGAAGCACAGCAGTGGAGCAGCCTTTGCTTCCTTGCCAAAGATCCGCATACACTGTAAGGTGTGCGACTGGCACTTCCCTGAATAGCAGTACCCGTCCTCGGCGCACACGGTCCCATCCTGCTTGGCCACATCTGCTGGGCAATGCTCAGATGTCCCCTTGCAATACTCGGGCAAGTCACACGGATGGGCACTCTCCCTACACACTTCTCCTTCTGGAAGAGGCTTGCAGTTCTTACAGCAGCCTCCAGAAGTGCAAATGGCTCCTTCTTTTTTCCAACAGTTACTGTCACAGCAACGGTCCAGTTTACACAGTGCTTCTGAGCCGCAGTCGCACTCCTCCCCAGCGTCCAGGACACCATTCCCGCAGCGCCGCTGTGCAAATGTCCTTAGCGATTCTGGGGCGTTATTAAGGCAGAATCCTTGCCCTGATGCCACAAATTGCAAATAGTGCTTTTTGCTGCAGTTGCTGAACTGATAGTTCACTGTGCCGTGCGCGCTCGTGATGCATTTAGAGGTGTTTTCACATCTGCAGTCTCCAGCATCATGGTTCATGCCAAGGACGTACCCTACCGCACGAGCGACGTGGACAGCAGTGTCCATGTAAGGCCGTTTGGCAAACGATACAACAGCCGAGGCGCGTGCTCTGTCGCATGCGCTGGCAAAGTTGGACTCGCCACCCACGTGCAGTGCTCTCGTACCGTGACCAAACAGACACATCACGTCATGCACGGCGTACACGCGGCTCTGCTTCTTCCGCCAAAGATTAAAATTATGAAGGACCTCGGTTATGTTTTCTGTAACACGGATAGGGTTCTTCTCCACCCAAACCTCGAGTGCAGTTATCAAAACACGAAGGCGGAAAGAATAAAACAGTCCATCCACCAGATTGATTATTTCAATAACTTTCTTGGTCACATTGGTTATGCTTCTGCCAAAGGTGTCAAACCCTGCCTTGTCCACCACGACGAGGAGCTCCAAATAGCGCGTGTGCCTCCGGGGCTGGAACAGCCCTCTCGCTGTACCAGGACCTGGAAATTGTCCCCCTTCGTTGGACATTTTGTACATCACCGTTCCAGGAACCACCTCCTCTCTCTGCAACAGATGCTCGGCCATGGTGGAAGCTGCGAGGGGCTCGATGCTGCAGCTGGAGTCCCCCACCTGCAGCAGTCCTCTGAGCCCGGCGCAGGCGGTCAGAGTCACCGCGGACCCTGCGACGCCTTCCACGTAGCCGTGGTAATAGCAATCTGCTGGCACGTGGGGCTGGTTGGCCACGATTTCCCCTCGCGAGTCACGAGTGAAGACAGGGAATTTTTTTTATTACAAAGTCTTTCTGCCTGAGGCAAATCGTGTAATTCACCCCCTCAATGCTGAGGCTATAGGACACTTCGTCGGGGCCGGCTTTCCCTGCCTTGGGGCCGAGTTTGCTCGGGACGACTATCTCGTAGGCAGCGTAGCCCCAAGAGGGCTGGGGGCCACAGCCTGCGCGGGGCAGCAGGATGGACAGCCCCAGCCCCAGGAGAAGAACCCCTCTGCCCGTCGGGCCACACCTTGCAGCCATGGTCACTGCCTCCCAGGCTGGAGGAAAGAGCAGAAAATACGGACGAGGAGACATCAGAAAAAGCTGCCTTGAACTCGGCAGCAAAGAGCCCTTCTCACCAGCAGGACGCCGTTCCTCGGGGTCTGTCCTCTTCTCCCCGCTCAGCGATGGCTCCCTTCACCCAACGAGCCTTCTCCTGGCTCTTCCTCGGCTACCAGGGAGGTAGGACACGCCGGGAGCCGGCCAGCCGGCCATCCACCTGCAACGGAGCCAAGCAGCGCCGGGA